GGAGGGAATAGCTGGTTAGGGCAGGGAAGTGGTCAGTGCCTCTTTATGAGAGGGGTGGTCCATGCCTGCTTGAAGGAGGCAGTGGTAAAACCACTCCTTCAGAAACCTTCCATGGATTCGGAAATCCTAACTAATTCTGGCCAGTTGCTAATCTCCCTTTCCTGAGCAAGGTTCTGGAGTGAGTGGTTGCAGACCAGATTCAGGTGCTTTTGGAATAAACTGTATCTGGATCCATTTCAATCGGTGTTTAGGCCTGGTTTTGGCACAGAAACTGCTTTGGTCACCCTGTACAATGACCTCTGTCGAGAGAGAGACAAGGGAAACATGTCCCTGTTAATTCTTCTTGACCTCTCAGCGGCTTTCGATACCATCAACCATGGTATCCTTCTGGAGCGACTGTCCGAACTAGGAGTGGGTGTTACCGCTTTGCGGTGGTTCCAGTCCTACTTGGATGGTTGCTCCCAGAGGGCATTGCTTGGGGAATGCTTTTCAGCCCCGTGGAACCTTCAATGTGGGGTTCCGCAGGGCTCATTCCTATCCCCTACATTGTTTAACATCTACATGAAACCGCTGGATGGGGTTATCCAGAGGTTTTGGAGTACGTTGTAAGCAGGATGCTGATGACACTCAACTCTATTTTTCCTTTACATCTGCAGGTGAGGCAGTGGAAGTGCTGGACCAGTGTCATGCCTCGGAAATGGACTGGATGAGAGCCAACAAACTGAAACTCAATCCAGATAAGACTGAGACACTGTTAGTGGGTGGTTCCCTAGACCAGGTGGCCTTAGTGGCCCAGAGTGCCTTCCATCAGCTTCGGCTGGTAGCCCAGCTAGGCCCCTAGGGATAGCCTAACTACTGTTGTCTATGCTCTGGTAACCTCAGGGTTAGATTATTGCAATGAGTTATACATTGGGCTGCCTCTGAAGACGGTTCAGAAACTTCAGCGAGTGCAGAATTCAGCAGCCATGTTGCTCACTGGAGCAAGACAGTTTGAGGATATTACACCGATCCTAGTCCCACTGCACTGGCTACCAATTAGTTTCTGGGTCCAATTCAAAGTGCTGGTTTTGACCTATAAAGCCTTAAATGGCTCAGGACTGCAATACCTCAAGGACCGCCTCTTTCCATATGAATCTACCCGGATCCTGAGATCATCTTCTGAATCCCTCCTTCATGTGCCTTCTCAAGAGGTCTGGAGGGTGGCAACACGAGAAGGGGTCTTCTCTGCAGTGGCTCCCTGTCTGTGGAATGCTCTCCCCAGGAAACTTTGCCTGGTGCCTTAATTATGCACCTTTGGGCGCCAGGCAAAAATGTTATTTTTTTAACCATGCCTTTGGTTTATTTGACATCCTATGCCCTTTAAAATGTGGTTTTTTGGGGGGAGACTATTGGGCTGTTGACCCATTTTCTTTCAGTCTTGTCATGTTTTGTTTGTACAAAAATGCTAGCAATGGGCCATTGAAAGCACAAGCTCCATCTATCTCCAATCAAGTTAATGCATAAGAAGAACATGATTTTCTCTGCTTCCTTGTACGTAAAGTATTTGTTTTCTGTTTGGTCTTAAACTGCTGAGAATGGCATTTCTCCTTCCTTGCACTTCCTGGGAGTCAGAGCAGAATCTGTGAACATTTCTGGATGATTTATTTAATAACAAATATACTGTTATCTGTTCCCCTCCTCAGTCTCCCAAGTGATGAGCAGTTTCAGGGGTCCCATAATATCGTATACATCACAAGAGGAAGCAAAGTCAGGCTCTGTTTACAAAATCTGCTTGTGTATTCATTTTGTTTAAATCAATAAAGCTATTGGTGCTGTTATTTGCATATTTAATTTCATCTATTCAATTACACATATTGTGTAGGTTAACTAATATGAACTGTATTGCAAACACTTTAATTTGCGGTGCCGAAATTTAATTCAGTGTGTGGCCCCTCGTGGCCTACTTTGCCTGAGAGTTTGGACCGCACTGGATTATATGTGGTAAGACGCACTTTAAGGCACGTAAAAGCTCCGCCGCAGTGGCTTTCTGGGAAATGTAGTCTTCCCCACCGCCCTCTCGGGATTGGCTCTTGCCTCAACGCCTTTCTTATAGGAGGCGTCTTGCGTAGAGGCCAGGCCAGCCATTGGTCAGCCGGCAGCCAATAGCTGCCGAGAGTTCCCTCCGGGCTTCCCCGATTGTTGTGGCCCGTCGGAAGCGGCGCAGGTGTGCGCAGGCGCGCCTCGCGAACTCACCTGTCTTCCGGCTCTACCTGTCCGCGCTGGAGCCGGAGGATGCGGCTGCGCTCGGGGGTCTTCGCCTCCGCCTGCCTGCTAGTGCAGGCGCTGGGCGTCGGGCTCTTCCTCAGGGGCTTCTTCCCGGTGCCGGTGAGGTCGCTGCCTAGGAGCGGGGCGCTTGCCGGGCCGCCGGCGGAGCCGCCTCCCACAGGTAAGCGCTTTGCCTCCTACCTGGCGGCGTGGGGGGCGGGAAAGGTGTGGGGAGCGTCTCTTCCAGGCCTTGTGGGGGGTTGCACGCTTGAAAACAACGGGGGGCGGCCTCTTTCTCATCGCCCAAGCCGGGAGTTCGTCCCTCCACACCCCTTTTCATGGGAAAGAGGCGTGGGCGGGGTAGCTGCCCCACCCCTAAATCAAGATAATAATCGAAAATAGCTTACAAGTAGAAATAAGTAAAAAGATTTCGACAGGTTTTCCTGAGAACTTGGGGGCAAAAGAAAGGGATTTAAAACAACTGTTGTCCAATCTAAACCAAGTCCTTATTACGGTCAGGGGCCAGCATAAAAGCACCTCCATACATAAATGTAAGGGACGCGGGTGGCACTGTGGGTTAAACCACAGAGCCTAGTGCTTGCCGATCAGAAGGTCGGCGGTTCGAGTCCCCGTGACGGGGTAAGCTCCCGTTGCTCAGTCCCTGCTCCTGCCAGTTTGAAAGCATGTCAAAGTGCAAGTAGATAAATAGGTACCACTCCGGCGGGAAGGTAAACGGTGTTTCCGTGTGCTGCTCTGGTTCGCCAGAAGCGTCTTAGTCATGCTGGCCACATGACCCAGAAGCTGTACACCGGCTCCCTCGGCCAATAAAGCAAGATGAGCGTAGGTTTTTTCTTTTCTTCCCCCCGACTACCACTCCCCTCAGCCTTAGGTATCACAGTGAAACGTCTTGATCTTTTTTGGTTAAAACGTGACACTGATAATGCCAAGGTTGCAGGTTCAATCCCCCTATGGGCAGCTGCATATTCCTGCATTGCAGGGGTTGGACTAGATGATCCTCAGGGTCCCTTCCAACTCTACAATTCTATGATCAGAAGGGACATGACTGTGTAGCAAATACCTCTTTGCAGTTATCATATTTTTGGGAAGGCAAGCCAGGTCTTAGCTGGCGTCTTTCTCCTCTCAGGTCTCCTGAAACCTCCAGAGCTTGTTCAGCAGACTGACTTGGCCGTCACTCTGGCCATAGGCCTTGGTTGCCCATCTCAAGGAACAGCGTCGGGCAGCTTTTGTTGCCTGTGCAGCAGAAGACGGTGAGGGAGCAGCTGCGGTACTTGCATTTAAATGGGTTCCAGCTTAGCAGACTCCTCCAGGAGAACATGGCTACCTATGAAAAAGGCAAGTAAGTTAATGTCTGCGCTTTTTATGATAGCGGTCGAAACATTCTTAACCCACAGGAAACCCGCTTTGAAGAAATAACACAATATCTGATTGTTAGGGGGTTGAAATACTGTAGATTTTTGTAGCATGACAGGAGAGAGACAGGATCAAAAGCTGAGTTAATTAATAGGTTAGACTGTTAAGATAAATTACCCAACAAAAATTGAGAAGGATGGAAAGAATTGCTGAAACAATTAACTAAACTAGAATACAAAAAGGGAGGTGTGAGGAGGTCGAGAAACAAGTAAATGAAAGATAAAGATATGGTGTTTTTTATTGTTGTATTGTTGTATTGGTTTTTATGCTTTTTTATTTTTTCCCCTTTTTTAATGTATCGTAATGTATGTCTTGTTAATTTTTTGTGGTTTCTTTTTCTTCTTTTTTCTGTAATTTAACTTTTAATAAATATGTTAAAAAAACAAACAAAAGCAACTCTTGTTCTTGTGACTCAACGGTCAGGGATGGTTCCCTCCTCCTAAGGCAGAACCTGCTGATGGTCAGTTTCTGCTCTGGTGTGGACATACAGGCTGAGGCATTTAGTAATTTGCACATTTAAATCCTGCCTGCAGAGGGAAATGGCAGCTCTTCTCCCTTATTTATTTTAATTTAGTTTAAACAGTGTACTGTATAAAACAAATCAGTTGTTAGCTTTAACAGTGGTTTAAAGCGGACACGTGCTCATAAACACTTACTTGGGTTTCTTTGCAAACTGTGTTTCGGATTCTGTCTTTAAAAGCGAGTTTGCAACTCAGTGGTTGCGAGGGAACCATCACAGGCCTTTATGTCTCTATGCAAGTAAGAAGAATCCTTTCTGCAGATCTCTCAAATAACTTTCCGGTCTGTGTTAATGTTTCTTGTGAGTAGATCCTGGATTCCAGCAGTTTAAGATGGCAGAAAAATCCCACGGAAGTTGGATCAAGCTCTATTTGGAAGGGAACACCTCGGAAGTCCTCAGAAACCTTGGCAAAAAAGTTCTCAGGCAGTATTTAGAGGCCATCAGGGTCCTGAGCAATTCCTTGAGCAAGCAAGTGGCAAAATTGACACGTATTCAATGATAGTGGGAACCATCATTGTTCTGGAGGTACGGTTGAGTGTACTGAAGCCATCAAAATTTTCAGTTCAGTCAATAAGTCACTTAACTATCTCTTTTCAAGTTGGGTGGTTCACCTACTTAGAAAGTACTTTGTTCATGCTCTGAAACAAGCTGACGCAGCAGCAGCCTCTTGACTCAAATTTAGGTGGCAACATATCGGCAAGGAGCAGTGGGATGTTTCTTCAGAAGTTGCTGCCCTGGCCTTGCACCTTACATGTGTTGTCTCTGGTTTCCATATGGGCAGTATAAGAAAATACTGGATGACCGCACAGTCCTTTAATAGGGCCAAAGCTTTCTGAAATGGATAACATCATCAAGAAGATTCATACATCTCTCCTCTCCAAGGTGACATGCATATATATATTGATGTAAATTTAATCATGAGAGTAGGAACAGCATATGAAGCCTTAGGTTTCTATCCAATGTCATTTATACACTTATCAGCCTGTCCCAAAGCATGCTTACTTGCAAGAAAGTCCCACAATATGTAGTGATGCTTATTCTCAGGCAAATGTACATAGGTTTACTGCCTTCGTGGTGCTGTCGCCTTTGACGTTTGGGGCAAGTTAACCTGATGCCCTTGAAAATCTTGGCCAATGTGTTAAGGATACGAGTAATCCTAACAATTAAAAACTTCATCAATGCATGTGGCACAATTTCAGGCATTATGCAAAGGCTGTTTTCAGGCGTTCATGGCTATTTCAGGCGTTATGCAAAGGCAAATCCATGTTTGCCACCACCTGACAACTCAACACGAAGCTGCATCCGATGGCAGCTCTCTCGGCAAGGGCACCTGTGTGTAATACACACAACTCAGATTGCACCTTTTTCCAGTGAAATGTGTTGAGTGACCTTAAAGCTCCATAAGGGAAAAGAACCAACTGCCAACTTTTACCAGGGTGTGTGTAAAAAGGAAAAAAAACAAAAAACAGTTTGTGGCTTAGTTACTTGAAAAAGTGATGCCGGGGCTCAAATCTGAGAATGCCACCTGATTTGGAAATTATTCCATCCTCCTTCAATCCCCAATGTGTTGGGGGACTCTCTGTACTTCCGAAGCCATTAAGGAAAAGCCCTCTGAAACCGCTCTAGTGTTTGAGGAGAAATAGGTGCCTTTTTGGAGGTGGGGAGTCCTGTGTGGCACAGACTACATGTGCCATGGTGCTGCTCTCTGCCTTTTTCTTTTGGGTGAACAGTACAGTCGTACCTTGGTTGCCAAACACCTTGCGACTCGAACGTTTTGGCTCCCAAACACCGCAAACCTGGAAGTGAGTGTTCCGGTTTGCGAACATTCTTTGGAACCTGAACGTCCGACGTGGCTTCTGCGGCTTCCGATTGGCTGCAGCAGCTTCCTGCAGCCAATAGGAAGCTGTGCCTGTGGTTTCCGAACATTTTGGAAGTTGAACGGACTTCCGGAACGGATTCCGTTCGACTTCCAAGGTACCACTGTAGTGGCCCTCCGTTTGTGAAATGCTCTCCCCAGGGACGTTCGCCTGGCACCTTCATTATGTACTTTTAGGCACCAGGCAAAAACATTGCTCTTCAGCTGGCCCTTGGGCTGCTTAATATTATACAGCCTTTTAAATGTGTCTGTGGGAATGGGGGAGTATTGCTTTGCTGTTTTGTTCTACGTATTTACTTGTTTTTATCCTGTATTTAATTCTGCAAACTGCCCTGAGGTCTTATGACAAAGGGCGGTATATAAATCCAATAGATAAATAAAAAACAAACAATTGGCTGAATGGCAGCCATTCCTCAAACTGCAGATGGGGAACCTGGTGCCCTCCACACATTGTTGGCCTCCACTTCCCATCTGCCCCAGCCAGCATGACCAGCAGTGAGGGATATGGGGAGCTGGACCTCCCAACAGCTTCTACAGCGCCATGGGTGCCCTGTTCCTGCTCAAACAGTTTTGACTACGACTGCCTGTGCTTTCTGAGCTTAGATGTTGTGAGTTAAGGAAACAAAATGGTCAAAGGAGTATGTCAATCGCCCCGCTAAGCCCTCTGCAATTTCCTTCCTTTGCAGGAGGAGGGAGAGGTGACTTCACCCCACCTGCTTGTTGTGTGTGGCGACCATGGGATGTCTGAAACGGGGAGCCACGGGGGATCCTCAGAGGGCGAAGTGCGAACGCCCCTGCTTTTCGTCAGCTCTGCTTTCGACAGGGCCGGGGGTAAGGGCTGGATTCCTCTTGCCGGTGTTGTTATTTCAGTAAAGAGATCCAGCTGCTTTTATTAAAAAGTGCCGCAGAGGAGTAGCTGCTCCCTTGTGAAATGACACAACTTTAGAAAGGTGTGCTTAGTGTGTCCTGGTAGACAGACAGTCTTATTTCAGAAAAAAGACAGAGTTAAAAATGTCTCAGGTCTGTGGCAGCCCTAGCATTAATAACGCCAGGACAGCTGCACAAATTATTATAGCTAGGAAGTGGAAGGGGCAAGGTTGAATATAAAATGGAAGAATGGTACAAAGAACTGTGGGATATAGCTATTAATGATCAATTAACATGTACCATTAAGGTAAGACAAGGAATATGCAAGAAGAAATGATTTTGAGGAGATAGGGAAGGTATTTGTAGAATTTGAATTGTTAAAATGGAAAGGGGTCAAACCATCGCAAGAGGTGTTGAAATTTTGGGAGGTTGGATAGTTACACTGGAATGGCCTCGGTGCTGGGGTGCACATTTTTTTTCTTATTTATTTATGATTATTACTTTGTCAAAATAATAATAAATAAAAAATGTCAGGAATCACCCTTCCCCACTGTAGGTTTTTTCTTTTCTTTTCCCCCCGGACTACCACTCCCCTCAGCCTTAGGTATCACAGTGAAACGTCTTGATCTGTTTTGGTTAAAACGTGACACTGATAATGCCAAGGTTGCAGGTTCAATCCCCCTATGGGCAGCTGCATATTCCTGCATTGCAGGGGGTTGGACTAGATGATCCTCAGGGTCCCTTCCAACTCTACAATTCTATGATCAGAAGGGACATGACTGTGTAGCAAATACCTCTTTGCAGTTATCATATTTTTGGGAAGGCAAGCCAGGTCTTAGCTGGCGTCTTTCTCCTCTCAGGTCTCCTGAAACCTCCAGAGCTTGTTCAGCAGACTGACTTGGCCGTCACGCTGGCCATAGGCCTTGGCTTGCCCATCTCAAGGAACAGCGTCGGGCAGCTTTTGTTGCCTGTTGTGCAGCAGAAGACGGTGAGGGAGCAGCTGCGGTACTTGCATTTAAATGGGTTCCAGCTTAGCAGACTCCTCCAGGAGAACATGGCTACCTATGAAAAAGGCAAGTAAGTTAATGTCTGCGCTTTTTATGATAGCTGTCGAAACATTCTTAACCCACAGGAAACCCGCTTTGAAGAAATAACAATATTCTGATTGTTAGGGGGTTGAAATACTGTAGATTTTTGTAGCATGACAGGAGAGAGACAGGATCAAAAGCTGAGTTAATTAATAGGTTAGACTGTTAAGATAAATTACCCAACAAAAATTGAGAAGGATGGAAAGAATTTGCTGAAACAATTAACTAAACTAGAATACAAAAAGGGAGGTGTGAGGAGGTCGATGAAACAAGTAAATGAAAGATAAAGATATGGATTTTTGATGTTGTTTTATTGTTGTATTGGTTTTTATGCTTTTTTATTTTTCCCCTTTTTTAATGTATCGTAATGTATGTCTTGTTAATTTTTTGTGGTTTTCTTTTCTTCTTTTTTCTGTAATTTTTAAACTTTTAATAAATATGTTAAAAAACAAACAAAAGCAACTCTTGTTCTTGTGACTCAACGGTCAGGGATGGTTCCCTCCTCCTAAGGCAGAACCTGCTGATGGTCAGTTTCTGCTCTGGTGTGGACATACAGGCTGAGGCATTTAGTAATTTGCACATTTAAATCCTGCCTGCAGAGGGAAATGGCAGCTCTTCTCCCTTATTTATTTTAATTTAGTTTAAACAGTGTACTGTATAAAACAAATCAGTTGTTAGCTTTAACAGTGGTTTAAAGCGGACACGTGCTCATAAACACTTACTTGGGTTTCTTTGCAAACTGTGTTTCGGATTCTGTCTTTAAAAGCGAGTTTGCAACTCAGTGGTTGCGAGGGAACCATCACAGGCCTTTATGTCTCTATGCAAGTAAGAAGAATCCTTTCTGCAGATCTCTCAAATAACTTTCCGGTCTGTGTTAATGTTTCTTGTGAGTAGATCCTGGATTCCAGCAGTTTAAGATGGCAGAAAAATCCCACGGAAGTTGGATCAAGCTCTATTTGGAAGGGAACACCTCGGAAGTCCTCAGAAACCTTGGCAAAAAAGTTCTCAGGCAGTATTTAGAGGCCATCAGGGTCCTGAGCAATTCCTTGAGCAAGCAAGTGGCACAATATGACACGTATTCAATGATAGTGGGAACCATCATTGTTCTGGAGGTACGGTTGAGTGTACTGAAGCCATCAAAATTTTCAGTTCAGTCAATAAGTCACTTACACTATCTCTTTTTCAAGTTGGGTGGTTCACCTACTTAGAAAGTACTTTGTTCATGCTCTGAAACAAGCTGACGCAGCAGCAGCCTCTTGACTCAAATTTAGGTGGCAACATATCGGCAAGGAGCAGTGGGATGTTTCTTCAGAAGTTGCTGCCCTGGCCTTGCACCTTACATGTGTTGTCTCTGGTTTCCATATGGGCAGTATAAAAATACTGGGATGCGGGTGGCGCTGTGGGTTAAACCACAGAGCCTAGGACTTGCTGATCAGAAGGTCGGCAGTTCGAATCCCCGCTCCCGTTGCTCGGTCCCTGCTCCTGCCAACCTAGCAGTTCGAAAGCACGTCAAAGTGCAAGTAGATAAATAGGTATCTACTTCCTCTGGCGGGAAGGTAAATGGCGTTTCCGTGCGCTGCTCTGGTTCGCCAGAAGCGGCTTAGTCATGCTGGCCACATGACCCGGAAGCTGTACGCCGGCTCCCTTGGCCAATAAAGCAAGATGAGCACCGCAACCCCAGAGTTGGTCACGACTGGACCTAATGGTCAGGGGTCCCTTTACCTTTATAAAACACTGTTTTTCTGACAGTAGCAAAAGCTTCACTATCTAGATCTACTATGCCTATATTTGCGTCGAAAACCTTGTACGTGCAAGACGCCCCATGCTGGATTGCAGACTTTCTCCTCAGTTTCCAAAGTTTTGTTTTCCTACGTGGCATTGGGAAGGAAGGGGCTGCTATTTGAGAGACCCAAGCCTGAAACTCTTACGAGAGTGGGAAAATATTTTGTGTGTGTGTTTTTCCTGTCGGATCCTGGCCATAGAGTCTGCGGCTCAAACGCTATAGGTAAAGGTAAAGAAATCCCTGACCATTAGGTCCAGTCGTGACCGACTCTGGGGTTGCGGCGCTCATCTCGCTTTATTGGCCGAGGGAGCTGGCGTACAGCTTCCGGGTCATGTGGCCAGCATGACTAAGCCGCTTCTGGAGAACCAGAGCAGCGCACGGAAACACCATTTACCTTCCCGCCAGAGCGGTACCTATTGATCTACTTGCACTTTGATGTGCTTTTGAACTGCTAGGTTGGCAGGAGCAAGGACAAAGCAACGGGAGCTCACCCCGTGGCGGGGATTAGAACCGCCGACCTTCTGATCGGCAAGCCCTAGGCTCTGTGGTTTAACTCACAGCGCAAATGCTATAGCATTGGGTAAAAGAGCAAGTCTTGCCTTTGCTCCCAAAATGCTCATGAGCAGTAGATGCAGAGAAACGCTGTCTTGCTCAGCATGCTGGGTAGTTTGAGAAGTCAGCCGGTCTGGTCTGTCCCTTGTGCCACTCATAATGTGAAATAATGCAGGACCCTCACTAAATATAAAAAAGACCCAGAGTGGTATAGGGGCACGAGAGTGTTGGGCTAAGACCTGGGAGATCAGAGTTCAAATCCCCACTCAGCCGTGGCCACTGGGTGACCTTGAGCCAGCCACCATCTCTCAGCCTAGCCCAGCTCCCAGGGTTGTTGAAAGGGCAAAATGGAGGTGTGCAGTGGGGAGGACCAGGTCCGCCCCCTTGAGGCCATTGGAGGAAAATCAGGATGGAAACGTAATGGTCAAAAAACCAAAAAACTACTGCTTCCAGCGGTTTTGAGTTCTAGACTCTCATGAGATGTTCTTGCTTGTTTTCTCCTCCTAGGTGCTGGTGCTGCTACTCTTGAGTACCGCAAAAGCTCTAAGCAGCAGGGCGGAACTGGAAGTGCCCCTCTCCCCGTTGTGCTCTCTGCTGTTCTACCTGACATGCCTGATGCTCTGTGCGGTTCATGTCGTCGTGTGCACTTCGACGGAGAGCTCGTGCTATTTCTGCAGCATCTCCTGGCTAACAGCCATTGGAGTGATCATGCTGATTTCCGGGCTTCTCTGCATCATTCTCTCTGCCCTGGAAAAGGTGTTTGTGAACCCCAAACAAATGGCAAAGGTAATAGTTACAGGAATGTAATTTAAGCTGCCGGGGAATGTGGATCTGTAGTTGTCTTGTGCCTCGTTGCTTCGGAAAACCACTACACCTTTCACATGGTAACTTAAACCAGTGTTTCCCAAACACGGGTCTCCAGCTGTTTTCGGACTACAATTCCCATCATCCTTGACCACTGGTCTTGCTAGCGAGGGATGATGGGAGTTGTAGTCCAAAAACAGCTGGAGACCCAAAGTTGGGGAACACTGCTTTAAACCTTTGCAAGGAAAAGCATACATTGTGCAGCAGCATGCTGCACATTTATGTTCAGCACCACCACTTCTGCCTGTCGGTAGACCCTGATAGGCAGACAAGCCCACAATGTTCTCCTTAATGAGACTGACCTGGCACCTACATCTCAATCTTTTCCATGCTAAGCAAAAGCGTTGCTTTTTGTCCCAGGCATTTTAGCTTGTAGAAAGCGTGCTAACAATTGCATTGGTGTTGTTACTGTATTTGTACTGCTATACAGTTAGTTGCATACTGCCCTGGAATTCTAAATAGGATGGTCTCTCTCCCCAGACCAACCCCAGGCTGGAATTGGACATTAAACGACTCTCACTTCTTTGTTTTTCCGTTGCCTGTTTAATTTTATTTTTTTAAACCCACCTACTGCTCCTCAACATGCTAGGTTGGTGAGGTCTTGCAGTCCAAGGCTGTTACAAATGATCTTAGCGTGGCAAATTGCGAACATCGATTTGCCACAGTGGTGATATTGCTGCCTGAAAGGTAAGCTGCTCTCAGTTATAATGACTAAATTACCAGTGCCTAAGAGCAGAGTTCAGGGAGATTAGTGGTGGTGGAGTTGCTGGCTCGGCTCTTCTGCAGAGCTTTAACGGGCATCTTTTAGTCTTTGCATGAAAGCTGCTTCTCCCAGTAATCCATGTTATCCGATTTTTATACTGGAGCGGTAATGAAAACCCTAGTTTTGAAGTCACGTCGATAGATTTCAGTTTAACTGCTTTTTAACATGCAGTTTCTTGCAAAAGCGCTCTGGCAATACAGTAGCTTTGTATAAAAGTGGCATAAAATTGTGACGGGGAAAAACTAGCACAGAAAAAGGGAAAGCAGGCGAAGGAAATTAAGCCCCTCCCTTTGACTCAAACCCCCTTTTTTGACCAGTTTATGTACGTGGGCAGAAGTGTGCAAGCTATGGGAAACCTTAGCTTGGAATTAGTGGGGATGATGGAATTGGTGAGCACCAAAATCACTACAGCTGTGAGTTTATGAGCAAACCTTTTAAAGCTACATTGGTTCCGGTGGTGTCGCTGTATGAGAGATCGAAAAGAAAGCATTAAAGATGACCCTTTTGGCTAAGAGCAAGTGGTAACTTCCCTTGACTTGTATGTTTAACCTTGTGCACTTCTTCAGAATCTTAACATTGAGGTTTTGTTAATACAGTCATACCTTGTGTTGCGTTCCGCTCTTGTTATGGACTTTCAGCTTACGAATGTGGAAAACCCAGAAGTGTTTACTTCTGGATTCGCTGCCCACGCAGAAGCAATCTGCATGCTTCACACATGTGCAGAAGCAATCTGTGTGTTTTACACACACACAGAAGCGATCTGCGTGCTTTGCGCATGCACAGAAACGCTCAATCACGCCGCTCAGAAGAGGTGCTCTAATTCTGGACTTTTCGGGGTGCGAACGGCACCCCGAAACGGATTAAGTCTGCAACTAGAGGTACAACTGTATGGAAATTGAGTACGAAAAAGGGCATACAAGCATCTTACTGTACATTGAATTGGTTGATTTGGCTCTGGCTGACCACTGTAATAATCCATGTGCTGGTAACCACAAGGCTGGATTACTGCAGTGCGCTCCATGTGGGCCTGCCCTGGGGGCCTAGCTTAGAAGCTCCAGTTGGTGGCGAATCTGATGGCCAGATTGCTGATGGGGGGGGGCACATGGCCAACGACATGACACCCCGGTTAAAACATCTGCACTTGGCTGCCCATTGACTCCAGAGTCATGTTCAAGGTCTTAGTATTCATTTACAAAGCTCTGAACAACTTAGGTCCAGGGTAGGAACTGTCTAAAACCTTACCTTCCAGCTCAGCTGCCTAGTTCATCTGCAGGAGCATTGTTCATCATCTCCTGAGTTGGCAAGGCTTATCTTGCCCTGCCTGCCCTGTGCAATGCTCTGCCAATAGAAATTCAGCAGACTTCTTCCGTGCTGATACTTATGCATCTGCTGAAAACTTTTCTATACTGCTTATGCATAGAAAACTATTGTTGTTGTTGTTTAGTCGTGTCTGACTCTTCGTGACCCCATGGACCAGATCATGCCAGGCACTCCTGTCTTCCACTGCCTCCCGTAGTTTGGTCAAACTCATGCTGGTAGCTTCGAGAACACTGTCCAACCATCTCATCCTCTGTCCTCCCCTTCTCCCTGTGCCCCCAATCTTTCCCAGCATCAGGGTCTTTTCCAGGGAGTCTTCTCTTCTCATGAGGTGGCCAAAGTATTGGAACCTCAGCTTTAGGATCTGTCCTTCCAGTGAGCACTCAGGGCTGATTTCCTTAAGAATGGATAGGTTTGATCTTCTTGCAGTCCATGGGACCCTCAAGAGTCTCCTCCAGCACCGTAATTCAAAAGCATCAATTCTTTGGCGATCAGCCCTCTTTATGGTCCAGCTCTCACTTCCATACATCACTACTGGGAAAACCATTCTGCTTAATAAATAAATAAAACTGACTTGCCATAAGTGGGAACCATTTACCCCCTCCCAAGCTGAGGGATTCAAGGTGGTGGTCTCCAGTAAAAATAATTATGCTTAATGTTTAATTATGAGCTTTAAGTTTTAAAAAGAAGGGCTCCAAAGAGGTTAAGTGGTATGCCCAAAGAGCAGCCTTCAGCAACCTGGTGCCCTCAGATGTTTTGAACCACAACCCTCACCAGTCGCAGCCAGCAAAGCCATGCTAACTTGGGTCTGATGGTGAATTATGGTCCAAAACATCTGCTTGATGAAGGCTGCTATAGTATAGACAAAGTCTGAGCGTAGGTGGCAGATATTCTTTGATATACCCGTAGTTAAAGAGTTATTATTCCTGATACCTTCCGGCAGTCAAAACTGATTACATTGAATGCATAGACTAGAGCAGTAACTGAATAAGCAAGTCAGTCTTTCTATTTCCCATATATACATCAAGATCCTTTCAAGCACTGCCTAGGCAGTGAAGTCTAAAAGGCCTAACATACAGCATTGAAGTCTATGACTTTGGTCAACTGAATGGCTGGATATTTTTTATATACTTCTCTTTGCATGTCTTATTAGTGTTCAGATGATATCCCTTTATTTTACTTGACTGCACTTTTCCAGAGTCGTTTTGTTTTTTGTAGTGCTAAGCCAGTGTTTCTCAAACTTGGGACTACAACTCCCATCATCCCTAGCTAGTCAGGAACGATAGGAGTTGTAGTCCAACAACCACTGGGGACCCAAATTTGAGAAACACTGAGCTAAGTGAACTTCAGTTTGCTAAAAAAGGGTGCACTCATTTCTGAAGAGCTATCCTTAAACCGGGTTACTGTGCAGCAATTAACATATAAAATAGCCATTTCCGAGGTAGCCTTGCCTGGCTGCTTCTTAGGAAATAAACCCATAGCTTTAGTATGAGCAATGTAATAACCAGCGGATCAATATTATTCTTGCTGCAGCTGCGAAGCTAAATGAACAACTGTAGATGGTTGGTTTTTTTCCCTTGCATTGCAACACGCTGGAAAATGGGCAGATTTAAAGAGATCAGAGAAACGGCTCCTTACTTACCTCCTTTAGAATTTTCTGATTGCGAAAAGATTTTCTATTTTTAGTTCCACATCGAGGCACTTCATACTCAGTCGCGTGGCTAGAGAGACAATGCGAACTTTACATGGTAATGCCGGTTATTCAGAGAGGAGCCCTGCGCACTCCTTGAAAGAGAACGCGCAGCCGTTTCAATGGCACAATTAACCGAATGTTGACAGCAGCTCTGAATTACGCTGAAATTAACCTTGTTTTGGGCTAGGAATGTAGGAGAATTACATAAAACGTAGCAAAAATACCGTTGTCGTTGAAGAAGCCAATGCATGCAATTTTATATGCCGGCGGGCTCTAATGATGCGTTGGATTCTTTCCAAATTATATCGCCAACACATTTTTCTCCCTCCCCTCTTCACAGAATCCAGCTGCCGCTACTTCCAGCTGGTCTGAATTTGACGTGCTCATCCTGGCAGGCACCGTTGGCCATGTGTCAAGTCTGGGCGCCAGCAGCTTCATTGAAGAGGAGCACCAAACTTGGTACTTCCTCGTCAGTACCCTCTGCCTCGCCCTCTGCCAGGAGACCTGCAGGCACTATTTCCTGGCTAAAGACTGCGATCTTCAGCTTCCCTCTTCAGCCAAAGCAAACCCTGAAGAAGCCAAAGGAGCCCACCACCACAGGGATGATGCTGGCTACCTGCAGGACGCCCCAAAAACGGGCAAGGCTGCCAACTCCGAGAGCGCGAGGGGCTCCGAGAAGTGGATGGCGTTGGCCACTCCATGGGCTGTCCTTGTTTGCTGCCGTCTGCTTCGCTCGCTAAATCAGACTGGGGTTCAGTGGGCTCACAAGCCAGATTTTGGCCACTGGTTGACAAGGTGCGTATTTGAATTGCTCTGTGTTTGTTTTTGGCAGGATGGGTGATGGATTAAGGCTTGTACATGGTAGTTCACCTGCAGGGAGGTGTAGAGTGGCTGGGGAAACCCCACCAGATAGGCAGGGTATTAAAAAAAAACTACTATTATGTAGGGAAGCATAACAAAAGGTCTTTCTTTTGGGCCACAAGCTACTGATACTTTATGGATCTTGCGGCTTTATTAGCTAGTATTTGTAAGAGTTTGTGTTTCATGCCATGCCTTGGAAGGTTTCCTCATATTTTCTTGGTAACCTTCAAAACAGTGGAACGTAGGTTAGCCATCTACCCTGCGTCACTCAAAGGCTCTGAAAAGGTTACGCAGTTTTTGAAAATTTGGCAGTGGAATGTTCTTCCTCTGTGCACTTTCGCTCTTCCAGGGAGGAAGATGGCAACCCCATAGTTTTCTGGGTTAATGACAATGTAGAGGGAGAAAGAACACTGGAGGAAGATGGCAATGTACCATTTGAAATATGGCTGGAGGTTCCCTTACCTCTGAAGCCACGGAGCAACAGACTTTGGCTCTGGAGCACTGTTACTTCATCCCACCCTTCCACCCCGCACTCTACAGACTACTTTGGAAATTCTTCGGGTTTGGTCTGACCACTCGAAATGCTTTTGTTCTACAAATCAAGGCACAGCTTCACCACCAGCGTCACAGTCAGAACCAGCATCATCTTATGAAAATCCTAGTGCCTAGGCCAGGGTGGTGCCAGCCCACTCATGGTCAAAGCAGCCTGTATGCCAGTCTCTACTGCGGTTCTCAACCTGTGGGTCCCCAGATGTTGTTGGACTATAACTCCCATCATCCCTGAGCTCTGGCCTTGCTAGCTAGGGGTGATGGGAGTTGTAGTTCAACAACATCTGGGGAACCCACAGGTTGAGAAAGGCTGCTCTAGAATGAAGTTCAGGGCCTAGCAACGGCTAGTCCAACAACAGCTGAGGACCCCAAATTTGAGAAACACTGGGCCAGGCTAGTCTTCCCCATGATTTTCCTTTCTATCTCCAGTTAGCCAATGGGGTGCTGAGCCTGAATAGTGTGGTGTATTACTTAAGGCCACTAAATGAGCTCACGACAGAGGCCAGATTTGAACTGGCGCCTTCCTGGTTCACTGCTTAATCATGCTGCTGCTCTAACTCTACTTGGTAGTTAGATTCATAGAATTGTAGAGTTTGAAGCAACCCAAAGGATCATCTATTCCAGTGTTTCCCAAACTTGGATCTCCAGCTGTTTTTGAACTACAATTCCCAACATCCCTGATCATGGGTCCTACTAGCTTGGGATGATGGGAGTTGTAGTCCAAAAACAGCTAGAGACCCAAGTCTGAGAAACCCTGATCTAGTTCAGCCCCCTGCAGTGCAGTTGTATCTGTTTGATGCTTTGCAAAAGACTGGAACAATCTTCCTTTGCATCTGCTTGCTTTTTAAAAAGAAAGTTCCCTTTTGCATCTAGGAAACAGTTCCCTGCTCTTGGGTGGAAAAAGGATGCTATCTGAGATAACTTACCAATCCTTAACTACAGGCTTCTTTCCAATGGACTCGCTTGGCCTGTGAAATAAGCTTTTTAAAGCAAGCCTGAAAGTGAAGGCTTAAGTGTCAGCTGCCGTTGTGTAGCAGCCCACTCTAAATCTGCAGTGAAGCTGCCTTATACAGAGTCCGACCATTGGCTTACACAACCTCACTCTGGCTCTCCAGGTTTTTGGGCAAGGTCTATCCCAGCCCTACCTAGAGACACCAGGATTAGGACCTTCTGAATATCAAGGAGGTGTTCTATCACATAGCTATGACACTTCCTTGTTATATTCATGTGCAAAAATAAGGTAGGGGGGAGGAAGGTGCCAGGCACCCAGAATGAAAGCCATGGCAGAAATAGCTCTCTGTGCTCCGTACTAAAAATACAGCGAAAACTCTGCTCCAAGGCAATCCAAATTCTCTGATGCAAAAAAAAAAAGCTGAATTATGTCGCTTGTATAAATTAGGCAAGTTTGTGAGATTTCTCTAGTTTTGCATAACACTGTGCTTGATACTATTTTAATTTATTTATTTTTGCATTGGATATTCTGCTTCCGCTAATTGTGATGAGGGGCAAGGAGCTGAAACTCGTGACTTCCGAAATTTCACCAGGTGTTGGCACTGCACTTTGAAGAATATATTTGCAACCCTAATGGCTAGAAAGCTGCTCTTTTGCTGGAGCAGAGATGGGGCGGGCGGGGAGCAAAGCCCTTTTACAAATGGTGCTTGGAACATTTGACTACCCCAAGCACAATTCCAATTTTCTCCGGGTAGTAAAATTGTCCCCAAGCAGATCCACGTGTGTGATATCAGAAGAAATGTATTAAGGCTGCAATCCTGAACCCACTTACCTGTGAGTAAGCCCTATTGAATTTAGTAGGGCTTACTACTGAGTAGACATGGTTAGGTTTGGGCTGTAATTCTTCCTTGGATTAACTTTTGTTGGGAATACCCCCAATGGGGCAATAAATCCCAATAATTTACACTGGCTGGGGCAAATATATCTAGTTATAATTATCCATATCTGTATCTATCTGTATCTAAGGTTTAGGATAGGGAGAATTCCTCTGCTGTAATCAAGAGGCAATTCCATTTTTTAATAATAAGAAGAGTCTGGAACAATGTGACAAAATGAAGTAATATGCAATTTAGACAAAAGCATATATATCAGGGTATGAGATTTGCTGTTTTTAGGTTGAAACTGGTTAACTCTTTAGCCTCCTTCCCAATAAACAACTTTAATACAGGTCCAACCAACCAACAATTTCAAAAAGTGAACTTGCAGTAGCTGAATCTGTTAAAATGGATCTAATTGAAATTATTCTTGTGTTTTTGCAGTTCTGAACATAAAGCTGAACTTTCTCTCGTGGCATCTGTATCTCTAGTTATGATTTTTATTCTTGTGCAGCGGAGATGTTCTCTGGTTTCAAAAATAGCAATGGCACTTGGACTCTTGGGAGTGTACAGTTACCGGGCAGCCATTGGAAATGTGGAATTTCCATGGCAACGAGACAGCAAAGATATTTCAAAGTAAGTTCATTAGCAGCTATGTAAATGTACTTAACACTGCAAGGTCTAAAAGGAAATGTTATACGAGCGAGCGGTGTGTTGGTTTGGGCATGAGCCTTAAGAGCTTCTTCAGATTGCCAGGGACCATTGCAAAATGGGAAGCCTCCGTAAGACTGTTCTGCCTTGGTCAGACCACACCTGCAATACTGTGTCTGGTTCTGGGCACTTCAATTTAAGAAGAAAATTGACAAGCTGGAATGTGTGCAGAGGAGGGCGACCAAGATGATCAAGGGTCTGGAAACCAAGCCTTATGAGCTGTGGTTGAGGAACTTGGGTATGTTTAGAGGAGATAGCCATATTCAAATATCTCAAGGGCTGTCACATGGAAGATGGAGCTAAGCTTGTTTTCTTCTGCTCTGGAGGGTAGGACTCGGACCAATGGCTTCATGTTACAAGGAAGGAGTAAACATCAGGTCCCTTCCAACTCTACAATTCTGTGATTCTGTAATGCACTGTGGTGATGAGGAGGCACCTAGTCAGCTTGGAGATGATGATGATGATGATGATAATAATAATAATAATAATAATAATAATAATAATAATAATATTTATTTATACCCCGCCCTCCCCAGCCAAGGCCGGGCTCAGGGCGGCTAACAAGCAATAATAAAAACAATTTGAATGAATACAACTTAATAACAAGATTAAAATACAACATTAAAATATTGAAACATTGAAATATTAAAATGCAGCCTCATCACAGGAGAAAGGAAAAAGAAAAAAGAGGGGGAGGCAATCAAATTGGCTCCAAGCCAAAGGCCAGGCGGAACAACCCTGTCTTACAGGCCCTGCGGAAAGAAATCAGATCCTGCAGGGCCCTGGTCTCGTGAGGCAGAGCGTTCCACCAGGCCGGAGCCAGTGTTGAAAAGGCCCTGGCTCTGGTTGAAGCTAATCTAACTTAGGGCCCGGGACCACTAGGGTGTTGCTATTTATGGACCTTGAGGCTCTCCGTGGGGCATACCGGGAGAGGCGGTCCCGTAGGTACGAGGGTCCTAGGCCGTGAAGGGCTTTAAAGGTCAAAAGCAGCACTTTAAATCTGACCCTGTCCTCCACCGGGAGCCAGTGCAGCTTGAAAAGCACTGGGTGAATATGCTCCCATGGCAGGGACCCTGTGAGGAGCCTCGCTGCAGCATTCTGCACCCGCTGGAGTTTCTGGGACAGCTTCAAGGGGAGCCCAGCGTAGAGCGAATTACAGTAGTCAAGCCTGGAGGTGACCGTTGCATGGATCACTGTGGCCAGATCGGGGCAGGAAAGGGGATACATGGTTGGCTCATTGCAGGCGACCAGCTGAGTGTTAAATGACAAGGCTAGGGATAGTTGGGGATCAATTTGACAGCAAGGTTTTGCAAATCTCTCTGTTTCCTAGTTGCAGCCACCTGCTCTTTCACAAATGACTTTGGGGGCTTCTAAGCCGGAAGCATAATCCCCTGAACTTTCAAAGCTGCAGGTTCCGTGTGTGACTCTTCCTCCCTTAAAGCTGATGGCTTAATATCGCCATTACAGTGTGAAGAGCAGTTTAGAGGCATGTGAGGCATCTGAGGCTTCTGAAGTGCAACAGCTCTTTTTTTAAAATGCATCTTTAACTGGGTTGATATATTATAATCATTTTGTACTGTTGTCATTTAAAATTGTCTAGTGTGCTTCAGGTGAAGAACAGTTTCAGGTTAAGTATGGACCTCCGGAACGAATTAAGTACTTAACCAGAGGTACCACTGTGTACACACACACACACACACACACACACACACACGTACATACATACCCACCCACCCAGGAAGCTCCTGCAGCCAATCAGAAGCCATGGAAGCCACGTCATACATTTGGGTTCCAAAAGAACATTCACAAACTGGAACAATAACTTCCGGGTTTGCGGCATTCGGGAGCCAAAACATCCAGGTTCCAGGGCATTCGGGATCCAAGGTACGACTGTACTGCAAAAGTTTAACTATCTAAATATGCAGCAAGTAATCAACATTATGACTGTGTGAGACCATTCTTCCAAATGGTACACTTTCTTTTGTTAATAACAAAATTTCTACTTTCCGTTTTCAACATTTATTTTCCCCAATTTATTATCATTATGATTATTTATTAAATTGGTATACAGACCCTTCATCCATAGATCTCAGAGCATTCAACTTATCAGATGATAAACGCTTAAGATACGTGTACTTAAGGTACCATAGGGCAAAGCACTTTGCCGCTTTCTCTAGTATTTCATCATATGTTAGTAATTTTGCTTCTACAGAACAGAGGCATACTTTTTGAGGCTGCAGTTCTTTGTGTGCTTATCATGGGAGAACTTCAATAAACAGAATGGGTTTTACTTCCTAGCAAGCATGCGTAGGACTGCTTTGTGAATTTCATAAACACAGCAAATGGTATTCTTTATAAATAATATATTTTATACTGATAAAGCCATAAAATAAAGGTAGGGTTTATGATAATGTTAAATATTGCATATATTTCAGTTCCTCTCTCAAACTTGTTTTGGCAGGGATGGATGAAGAAGAGAGAGAAACCAGTAGGTCCTTTTAAAAAAATAATGACTTCAACATTTTCAGAAAGTTTAAGTCTCTGTTATGTAAGATTTGCAGCATATTGATATAATAGGTATTCAACGCTGATAATAGAAAGTAGAACTCATTTAGCTGTTTAATATAGGATTGTATCCAATATTAGTCATACTCTGAGTAAACTCATAAAAATAGGCCAATTAATTCCAGTTGGTCTACTCTGAGTAGGACTTAGTTGGATGCAACCCTTCATTTAAATGACACATTTGTTTATGTGGCTTGATTTACTAGTGGCATAGTTTACTTTAACTTTCTGGTGGATGTTCCTTAGGGTCAAATGTTTTTCTTTATTTCTTGAAACAGAACAGAAACGTTATAACTGCTTCAATTGAAACGAGAGGGTATTTTTTTAATGCAATTAGAGTAGTGAATAACTTCTTTTTGAATTGCCTACCAAAAACCTGCTTCTGACAGCTTAAGTGCAATCAGCATTTTAATTCCAATTATCATAGACTGAAATATAATGTTGGTTTTTAAAAAAAATCTCTTATCATAGAATTGTACAGTTGGAAAGGGACCCTTTTGTCATTTGCTTAAATTGCTGGTCTTTGGTAATACAGTGGTTTTCAAGATCTCTTGCGATAATGCCCGAGAAATGCTATGCTATCAACTGGAGATGTGAAGGTGCCTTAAAGATAATGGAGTTTGCTAACCGAGCAAGGTTCGGGATATACACACACATATACATATATATATATATTCCCTACCCACCCTTCACAACCAACGTCCCAGGGGGAATTGCCATAGTATAAAAGACAATACTAAAATCCGTTGAAGCCAACCAACCAAACAAGGAACCTTCCTTTTTAACATGGAGGAAAGCTATTTAGGGGGGAAATAAAAACAAAAACACTTCCTCCCTTTATTTTTTAACGGTAGGGAGTGCTTTCCAGTTTTTTGTTTACATTCCCTGTTTATTTTGCCTTTTAGCAGCCTCTGCATAATTAGCTGAGCTCTTGAGAGTTTTTGAGAGCAGGAAGTTCTTCTGGTTTGTGTGCTTGCGAGGGGTTAAAATTGGCTGCAGCCTCAGGCTTCTATCCTTATTTATCAGTATGTGTGTGTGTTTTAGGAAGGTGGAGGGAGAGAGCAAACAAAGCCTGCAAACTCTTCAAAGTACAGTAGTTGAGCGTCCATTTTGGTGAACATCTGCAGCAAACCCGGAAGTACTGGAATGGGTTACTTCCGGGTTTGCCGCATGCGCAGAAGCACAAACCGCTCTGCGTGTGTGCGCAGAGTGTCCCTTTCGTCAAGCGTCCGGTGCTCCGGAATGGATCCCAGACTCAAAACCAGATACCACTGTATCTGTAAAGTTCAGCTGTGCTTACCCCTGCGAAGCTGTCCAGCTTTTGTTCACCAGTATGTTGCCTTGTTGAAACACTTATCACGAGGTTATTATAATCAGTGCCAGATTTAAGTATAAGCTAAACAAGCTATAGCTTAGGGCCCAATCTCTGGGGGCCCCCAAATTTTTTTAAAGAAAAAACAAACCTGGATGTACATTTTCAAAATATAAGATAAAAAACAAACAGACTAGAACCTACATACAGTTAGAGCTTAATAAGTATTTCACTATTAATCATCTACTTAACTGTATTTCAGTTCAACACTTACTTTGATAAAATACATATTTTGTTATGTGCAAATGGCTTTAGATACCTCTTAGGTCCATAAATTACCATATAGCATATATTCAACACAAAAAACAGAGACAATTTGTTGCTGACAAAGGACAGCTGGACATATAAAGGGCCCCATTACCTTCAGTAGCTTAGGGCCTCATCAAACCTAAATCCGGCCCTGATTACAATTCAAAGGGATGGCAATTTATCGCACAGCCCTAGTGGCAGACGAGAGGCTTTGAATGTTAGCATTACTTCTACTTCCTTTCAGTGTGCAGGTACAGGACAGTGCGCAGGTGAGTTCTGGACATGGCACACTGAGGCGTACCAGGCCTCTTCAGTGCTCCTCATGAGAGCAATGGGAGCCTAGGACATGCTGGCAGCTCCATGGCAGATATACAGGTTTTTCTTGGCAATAAAAAGTTTGGAAGCCCCTGGGTATAATGGGTTTGGCTGCAGCCATCGTTGAAACCTGCATGTGATTTTAAGTCTAGTTGTTTAAAGCTCCTGCTTCTCTCGCCTTTTCTTGCTCCGATTCCCCAAAACCATTAGAAAGTGCAATTCATCAGGTAATGGTGGTTTACAGAATAACAGGTCCTTTATGCACCCTGGTTGTGTACAAAAATCCAATTCCTGCTGATGTTCAAAAGGCATGTGAATAGTGGAAATCAGCCCGTCAACACCTTCCCCTTATTTTAGCCCTCCCATCCCTCTTGAGGTATTTGAAGGAGTTCAGCAGGGGTCTGATTGCCTTCAAATTCAACATCCTCCTTCAAAGTGATTTCCAGAGAAAGAAAGGGAGATAAAGGCCCTGTGAGCTTGAGTCAGCTGTTCATTTCTTTGCCTGGGTGCTGGGCGCCAACTCAGATGAAAGACACCACTGAGAACATGGTCCTCGGATGCAGGAATTGTTATTCCATGCACTATGTTTTGGGTTTAACTGCTAAATCACATGTTTTTATATAGATTTGATGCTAAGACTAGTACTCTTTACCTCTAATATTGTTTCTATGAATTGCTTGTGATTAGCGTTCCTTGGGTCGGGGGTCCAATATCCCAATATACTGCTATGAGGGGTAGGGGGTAGACCTCCCCCCCAAACCCCTGGATCCAGCAAGTGTTAAGCTATAAGTCAGGCTAGCTCTCTGTTGAAGTGATTGCCTGGGCGATGGTCCATTAAGGGGATCAAAGGAATGGGGCTCTGTGCAAGGTGCAGGTACCTTAACCCAGTTTGTGGGTAGTTGGAAAGACAAAGCTGGGGATGAGAACAAACGAGTTGTCAGTGATGTGAGCTTAGAAGCAAATCAGCAAACTGGGAACTGAGAGAGAGAGAGCTGTGGCTTTGGGGAAAGCAAGGCCCTCTTGGGTGTGAATGCTGTGAACCCCTCCATCATCGGCTCAGGTTGTATGTATGTGTAAATAAACAATATAACAGAAAGATGCCACAGTCTCCGCTGTGCCTCATTCCAAAGGAAACACAGACCCTGGGTAAGTGCCTGGAACCCCTGGAATCTCGCACTGCTCGCTTGGATAGTGGGGTCGCATGTAGCAATACTTTTTGCACTGTGAGTAGGAATGGTTAGGATCGCACTATAAATTTCTAGTCGTTATCAATGGAGATGTGATGACAGGTTATGAAATAAGAGGTGAAATGACCCCAAATCTTTCAAAGTTTGAACAGACTTTGGACGGAGCTGTTGAGACTTTGAAAGAGTGGGTGTTCAAAAGATTTGGGGTTTACTTAGAAATAATTCCTGCTGAGTTCAGTGTCCATTGTTCTTTGGTAAATGTGCACAGGATTGGAGCATTAGGTTTTGTCATGGGAATAACATCCCCATAACGGGTATAAAGGCTCCAGATTTCCATAGCTGAATAAGCTGGTTACGGTTGAGAGTTGTAGAACAGGAAGTTCTGAGGGCAAATTTTTACTCAGCATCCCATCAGGGTTCAAAATCAGCAGGGCGCTAGGCACATTTTGCACCTAAAGATTCTCCATTTGCGAGCACCTCACAGAGTCTGGGTGCCATTTTTTGCACCTGGCTGACACTCAAGGATTACTGAAATGTATGTGCTTTGAAGCCTTAAAGTATATGTTAAGGACAGACAATATGTTAAGGTGTTTTAACAATAAAGTGTAGAGTGTTTTGAAAACTGAAGTATGGTACCAATGTTTTTTTATTGTAAACACCAAATTAAACTTGTATTAACAATTTCTGTTAAAAATGTGATGTTAACAATGTGTCACTTACGTGAATTGCATATTAATTCTTGCTTAGCAAAATAATAAATAAAAAGTGTTGCTGACTACCGCACCCCGTGACGACTAGACATTCTGTTTGGGTGCCCACAACCCAAGTCCCAGAAGCCATTTGGCTCCGAGCTTTTCTATCCCAGTTTCAAACACTGCATCCCATGGGGCTACAATCCACCAGGAAGATTTCCACACAGAACTCTTTGATTTATTCCAGTCACTTCTTGTTAATGTCTTGTTCCATTGGTAATGACACCCCAAAACCCATTGCCTTACTTTGCTTCATGGATGGGCCTACTTTGGACTCTTCATTCCTCTAGGAATATTTATTCTAGTTTCAACAGAAGCAGATTTTTGGACCCATCAGACGCTGAATTTGTTCTATCTTTTCTCTCTCATTTTAGGGGCATAATTGAAGCACGTTTCGTCTATGTCTTTGTTCTTGGCATCGTCTTCACAGGCACCAAAGACTTGCTCAAATCTCAGGTTCTCTCGACAGACGCCAAGACAAAGTTTATAGGATTGTGGGAAATCTACAGTGGGTTGGTCCTGCTGGCTGCGCTCTTACTCAGGCCTCACAACTTGCCCGTGTTGGTCTTCTGTCTTCTCATCCAAGCCATGATGACAAAGTACGTCTGGAAGCCGCTGGAGTTTGATGCAGCTCAAGTAACCATCATGCATTACTGGTTTGGACAAGCGTTCTTCTTTTTCCAGGTAAGAGCATATTGTCTTTAGAAGGAACATACAGTGGTACCTCAGGTTACAGATGCTTCAGGTTACAGACACTTCAGGTTACAGGCTCTGCTAACCCAGAAATAGTACCTCAGGTTAAGAACTTTGCTTCAGGATGAGAACAGAAATTGCGCAGCGGTGGTTTGGAGGCAGCGGGAGGCCCCATTAGCTAAAGTGGTACCTCAGGTTAAGAACAGTTTCAGGTTAAGAATGGACCTTCACAACGAATTAAGTTCTTAACCTGAGGTACCACTGTACTTCCTCAGTTGTAGCCAGTTTCTTGTTTCAGTTCAAATGCTTGCCTCTTAGGCGATAAACTCTTGACCAGGAACTAGGACTACATTGAGAATGGAACGTGGACACAGGTTGGCAGGGCCCATTGCTGCAGCTGTTGTTATCTGCACACATGCCATTTCCCTTGTGGTTCAAAGAGTTAAAGAGGCCAGATTTATCCATGGTACCTCCAGTTGATTATTTCTGCCCAAAAGTGATCTGGGGCCAAGATACTTCAGGGGAGTACTTCCTCCTATCTGCAGGATTCTTATGCCTCGGTACATCTCAGTTTTATGTGGTGGTGGACCTTAAGAAATTTGCTTGAGGGGAAACCAGAATCATCAGGTTCTTTTCCATGCAAGTCTTTGGCTTGAAAGAAACCTATGTGGTTGTCCTTTTTGGACTTCCAGAGAGCATTTAAAACCTTCCTTTTCATGTTTTTTGTTTTTAATATTTGAGCAAGCTGATAGATGGTTCGTATTTATATTTTGTTTACCACTTAACGCTCGTCAGAATTTAATTTTTGTTTTTCATTTGCTGGACCGAAAGGCAGTCTATGGAAATGAATTACTGGGTGTTTTGTGTAGCATTGTGGCAGCCTTGGGTTTCTAGGCAAGCTCTGTTTTCATTCAAAGCATTTAAAAAGACCTCTTGCTTCTAAAGAGACTTAAAGCCACTTACCAAGGAATTTCAGCAATGGCAACAATGGCCAGATCTTGCCAGCTTTAATTCAATTTATGAAAATTCAGATTGAGTCCTTTTCAAAGGTTAATTGTAGTTCTGCTTAAATGCAACCTTCATATGGAAGGGAGAGAAGTGGCATGAAGAATTTCTGTAGTGGCGATTGTACCTTTGTACTACAAAAATGTTTGCCTGTGGAGACTGGCAATTAAGTTTTGAAGAATTGAAAGTCCCAAAATACAGATGATCCTCCTTTATAGTGGAGAACATACTAATGTGTGTGGAATACTTGAAGTGTATGTGGTGTTAGGGGAGGGGTAGTTCCTCTGGTGGAGGACATATTGTGCTCCTTCTGGGATAGTTCTTCCACCTTTGATCCCAACCCTGAACTCATATTTCACCTGCGGCTGCCAGAAACTGTCAGCATATGACAGTGGCCACACACTGGGAAATGGCTTTGACCGGCTTGTTAAACCAGATGAGGGTAGCTGATGGGTCTCAAACATTTGATGATTTAGGCATGCAAAGACAGGCCCGGCAGATTGAACAGACTAGACCAAAGGTGTGGGTCTAATGGTCAAGAAAGTGGTTTCTACACTTGTAAGGGGCAGATGGGGCTTGTCAAGTTGGAAGGGTAGCCCACCTAGGAGAAGGAAAACTGATCCCCAACCTCTGCTAACCTGTGTCTATACTCATTAATGAGATCAGCTTCAGGAGTAAACCCTGAGGAAAAATCTGTACCCACTACCTTGTGGGACATCTTCAGGAGAAGAAAAGGCAAAGGAGTTAAGGTAAAGGTAAAGGGACCCCTGACCATTAGGTCCAGTCGTGACCGACTCTGGGGTTGCGATGCTCATCTCGCTTTACTGGCCGAGGGAGCCGGCGTACAGCTTCCGGGTCATGTGGCCAGCATGACTAAGCCGCTTCTGGCGAACCAGAGCAGCGCACGGAAACGCCGTTTACCTTCCCGCTGGAGCGGTACCTATTTATCTACTTGCACTGCGTGCTTTCAAACTGCTAGGTTGGCAGGAGCAGGGACTGAGCAACGGGAGCTCACCCCGTCACGGGGATTTGAACCGCCAACCTTCTGATCGGCAAGTCCTAGGCTCTGTGGTTTAACCCACAGCGCCACCCGCATCCATAGGAGTTAACACTACACAAATCCAGAGTGGAGTCCCTAAGGCAGTTGGATGGTGTCTCGTATGCCTTATTCTGGTGACTCCTGCGGCCAAGCTGGTGCCAGATGTATTGCTTTGCTTTCCTTTGGATCACATCAACACGGTCGGGAAGGGACTTCTGAGGAAGGCAACCCAGGACTTCCATAGACACTGCCCAGGCTTGCACCGCAGGGAGATCGCTTTGGTGCTGCTAACACAGCAAAAACAACACAGAAGGCAGCAGTTGATTCTCCAGTCGTTTGACTTTGCCCCCCAGAGGCGTACTCCATTGTCTTCTTGAGACAGATGGATGCCAACAACAGCATGAGGAAACTCTCTCTGGTGAATTTCTTGCATGCAAATTCACCACTCAAGTTTTTAAAAGAGGAAATGGGGATTTACATCCCCTCCACCTGTCCGTCAGGGCACTCAGAACACCTTCTAATAAAATACACGTTCAAGCCAATTCAGAATACTTGGTGCAGGATTAGCGGTTCTGGAAACGGAAAGACACCACTTTACTTTTTCACACCCAATACTTGTTCTTTAAAACCTGTCCTGTTTCTTACTGACACACTGCTAGGCGTACATTCTCTTTTGGCTTTGCTTCACTATTAATAGAACTGCAAGCCCTGCACCCAGAAAAGTCATTAAACACTGCCCCCCCCCGCCTCCATGTTAAAAGAAGCTTGAGCGATTAACAGGCAGTCGGTCTTCATAAAATAGTTCATGTGATCAACCCTGTAACTGAAATTGGAAACGCTTTTAGAAGCCTCAGGAATACTATTTTTGGAATACTCTTAAATTAAACTCTGTGTTGCCATTTTCTCTTAGCTGTGTTCTTGTGTAGAACTGCTGGCAATTAAGCAATGCTGGTGAGATGCATATGGTTTCTCTGCAGACTTTCTGTTGCATTAGAGGCTACAGTATATTGGTAGAGTCTTGGTTCATACTTTGGTTTAATTGAATTATCCATCCATGCACCCCTCCTGCGACAGATTGGCTAATGATCCTGAAGTTCTGAGGCAGCAAGTACGGGTAGCTTTTAAAGATCCCATTAAAACCTAATGAAAAGTACTGCTTATATACTTCCCTCCATCTCCCTGTACTTATTTAACGCAAGCTTCCTCAGGATTATTCTAGAAAGGAAAGCCTTAAGCTTCTGACATATTTGGAGGCCTTGCGTTTACAGTGTGTGTGTGTGTGTGTGGAGTTTATAGGGTAGACAGGAGAATGTCTGCACACCAGACTGCTTGGATGGGATCATGGCGGTGTTAACAGGATACTGTTAGTTCTTAGGGATTGTTTACAGCAGGACCCAAACTAATTGATTCAAGTTACAAGCATAGAGATTCTGGCTAAACATCAGGAAGAACTTTCTGAGGGTAAGAGCTGTTTGACAGTGGAACGAACTCCCTCAGGAGGTGGTGGACTCTCCTTCCTTGGAGGTTCTTAAGCAGGGGTCAGCAAGGTTTACCGGCCATGGGCCAGATCACTCCCACGGAGATCGTCTGTGGGCCGGACTGGCACAGTGCAACACAGCGCATGTCTGTGGCGCCATAAACCGCTTCTGTGCATGCCCATATGCCGGAAATCGCGCTTGCGCAGAAGCGATTTTCAGCGTCTGGACATGCGCAGATGCGATTTTTGGTATCTGCCCATGTGCAGACGTGATTTCTGGCGCCACTCGGGGAGTCCCCGCACCGCGCTGCGCCAGTTTAGCGCAGCGCGGTGCGGGGACTCGCCGAGCGGAGGGCTCGGTTCAGGTGCGGCTCATGGGCCGGTAAAACGGTCTTCGTGGGCCTCATCCAGCCCATGGAATGCACGTTGCTGACCCCTGTTTTTAAGCATAGGTCGGTTGGCCATCTGTCATGGATGCTTTAGTTGAGATTCCTGCATTGCATTCTACGATTCCCATCAAAGCCCCTCAAGAAAGCATATGTAATGTCTCAGAATATCACAAGGTGCTTCCTCTGCGGACCTCATGGACTTGGGTGTGTAGCTTGTCTCTGCTCCGAGGGCCTTCTGGCAGTTCACCTCACTGTGAGAAGTGAAGCTACAGGGAACCAGGCAGAGGGCCCTCTCGGTAGTGGCGCCCACCCTGTGAAACGCCCTCCCATCACATGGCAAGGAAATAAACAACTATCTGACTTTTAGAAGACATCTGAAGGCAGCCCTGTTTAGGGAAGTTTTTAATGTTTGGTGTTTTTTCGCTTTTTATTATTAATATTTTGTTGGGAGCCGCCCAGAGTGGCTGGGGAAACCCAGCCAGATGGGCAGGGTATAAATAGTAAATTATTCCTATTATTGGGGCATGCCATAGTCCTAAAGTGGGTAAATCTGAGGAGAAATCTGATTTAAGAGATTAAAGCTTTTCCTGGCTGCAGAGAACCTTCCAACATACACTTATTTGCCAGGGAAGCCTCTGGAATCGGCCACAGAGCCCTGGAATCCTCCAGAGAATGTTCCGGTGTGTTTCAGGGCATTCTTTCAGGTCCAACATTACTACAACCAGAGCCCCAGATGAAGCGAGAGTGTGCTACAATGTGCTTAACATTTCCCCGTGGCTGCACATTGCAAGGGAAGATTAATAATAGCTGTTGGCAACCGGTGTTTCAGGAAAGATTGCCCAACATTATAAATCTTCTTTGAGGAGCTCCGATGAGCGTCTGAGGAATTCTGAGTTAAACATAAGGACATAAGATGAGTCTGTTGTTCAGGTCAAAGGCCCATCTAGTCCAACAGCCTGTTCTCACAGAGGCCAGGCAGAGGTCTCTGGGATTTCCGCAAGGAGATCCTGAGCCCAACAGCACTTAGCAACTGATATTTCAAGCATTTGGCCCTCCAGCAGAGTTAACTCTGAATTCCCTG